TATGTTGTATTTACCCTTATTATCCTCTGTTCACACCCAAAATGATATGGCATCATCATTCCATTGAAGAGTCAATTAAGCCTTAAGTAACTAAACAAACTATCAGCTATATATACAGTCAAATCAAATGTTACAAGCTAGCTCAATTTACCAGTGAAGTAAGTATATGCTGATTAATAATATTACATTGTTAAAGAACAATTTCGAAATATAATAAAGATTCCATTGTTCCAATAATACAATACATTTCACCACGCACAGGCGAAAAACCTCGTATCCCGAAGGAATCATTGATCTGTAAGAAAAAAGAGTTCTTCGAAAACTACATATACGATATACATACCTACTCTACATTCATTCCTACCGCTTTTCAGCATAGTCTCACAAATCTGTACATAGCTATCCAACAATGGAGACAAACCGAAAAATAAAATCTAAAACAGAACAAGGCACAAAACAAGACAGCAGAAGAGGAAGATGCACCTTCTGTTGAGCGAAGTATGCGCCTCATTTTCTAGCCACCTTGACCTGGGGCTGTCGTTTCCATAAACTGTGTAAGAATTCGAATTCGAATACCGGTGAGCAAACAAACTCGTGTCCGAACTCCCAAATATTGTAGCAAACACCATTTCACCGACCATAATCACCGTAGGACTCGACAAACTGGTCGACGTAATGCCACCAAACGGATGAGAAAAGTACTGCTCTTGATGAAATTCTCGATTTTGCGGCTGGAACTGTAACGGGCTTCGATTATTTCGCTGGTTCAAGTCAGAAGAAGCCAGCAAGGCGTTCACACCGAGTGCAGGTGGTCGGTGGGGTATGGCCAAATCGAATTGAGGTTTCTTGCCTTCAGAATCGGACATACCTCGGCCGTATAAAGGAACAAGTGACGAGGTCGATATGTGTGATTTACAAACAGGGCATTTTGGTCTTTTGTCGGTTTCGGATGAGGATTTTTGAACTTGGAGCCATTTGTATATGCATGGCCAACAGTAGAGGTGGCCACAGAGTGTGACGACAGGGTCATGAGACGAGTCTAAGCAAATATTGCAATCGAAGCATCCGTTTAAATTTTCTGCCACCATTGATGACTGTGATAATGAATTCCATTTTTGTTTGTGTGAGACTTCCCCGTTGATCCGAAATCCATTGTGGGGGCACGGAAGTTCGCTGAAAGCATAACTGCAGAAAGAGGAGATATATATATTAGGTGCAGGACATTACGATGATTGACATATCTCCAACAAACGAAATTTAACAAGCCTAAAAAGAATTTAAAAAAATCCGACTGTCTAAATACAGCCAAATTTACATTGAACTATAATAATCGACAACCAAAAAGGAAAAGGGAACACTTTCAAAGATGCCAAATTCGGTGATGTCAAATAACAATGTTTTACATAGATAACTCCATTATCTTTGCTAGGTTAAGGACAAGAAAATAGATGATACAGAAAGATCGTATTCGATAGCTGGTATAAGAGAGAGAGGAGAACAGAAAGAGAGAGAAACACCAAGAGGCCATCCTTAATAGTTAACCTCCATAAAGATCCAAGAATGAAGCAAATCAGGATTAATAAAAAAAATGGAAGATTGATAGTGAACGAACCTAGAAACCTAAAATTTATTTCATTTTATAAACCCAGAACCACAAAAAAAATAAAAAATAAAAATAATAAATAAATAAATAAAATTGATAACTGATTCATGTGTAAAATCATAGCTCAAAGGCAAGGCGAACTAGTCAATTAATGGAGGAATTTCTATAGCTATCAGCATATCCCTTAATCTATTGCGGGGAATGGAACAAAGCGTTACGCCGCCGCCACGGCGGCCAGAACCACCGCCCAAAACAAAATTTGCGGTACCAACGCAGCAAAGCAATCCAAGTTTTCCTCTCAAATCATCAATTGAAAAATCGAATTTGTAAAAAAAATTAAAAAAATCCATCGAGATGGAGAAGAAAAAACACAAAATTGAAATGCCGGAGCTACTGCAACAGATCAATCGCGAAAACTAGTACCAATATACGAGGAAAATCTAAACCTGAAAACACGAATAAAAACATAGAGAAGTGCAATCGGGAGAGAGAGAGAGAGATAAAATACCGGTATAAATCGAGGAGAGGAGAACGGAAATCAAATCTACAACAGAAGATTTTGATCGAACACTTTTTTAGAGAGAGAAAGAGACGTTGGTTGAGAGCAAACGCAGGGAAATCGAGAAATCGAACGACTGGATAAAGTATTGGGTGTAGAGAGAGAGAGAAGAGAGATTTGGGGAGAGAGAGATATATAAAGAGGGAGAGCTATTGTGCCGGTGGCTGAGGGTAATATAAAAAGAAAAAAAAAAATGGTTCATTTGAAGGAGTGTGGGATGTGAATGACACGCGCCTATGGAAGATTTCCCCTTCTGTAATATCAATCAATATTTTATTCTAAACCAATGGAAGATATATATTAAAATTTAAAAATGAAACGCAAGAAAGTAATATTAATATTTTATTTCAGCAAGTGAATAACAAGTCCGTTTCTCACTTGCCATTATCGTAATTATAAATGGAAAAGTTGGCTTTTTTTTTTTTTTTTTTATTAAAATTTTCCGTTTCTCTATTTTGAGAATTATTAATATCTCGTTTCATATTAAATATTATTATTTCACTTTCTTTTAAGGTACGGGGAAAAAGTAAAAGGTTTTGTATATTATTAATTATACTTTATAATTTTTTAAATATGTAAATTTTTATTATATTAAACTTGGGTAAATTACAAACACCCCCTAAGGTATGGTCAATTTACGAAAAATACCCCTCTTGTTCGGATAATTACTTCTACCCCTCAACTATGATTTTTTCTTACACCTCCACCCTTATGGTGTCAAATTCAACATAATCATCTAGATTACGTGGAATGTGCTCTAGTTTGTACTCGTTTTGTGTAAAAATACATTTTCTGATGGACCACAATCTGATATACACAAGCCAAAAAACACATATTATGATCATCTTGTTTCAAAATGTAGAGTTCGAATGGGATAAAACGGGTACAAAAGTGATAATATTCCATATAATCTCGAAGATTCCACTAAATTTGAAGAATTAAGGGAGTTGTTGTAATTATCTAAACAAAAAGGGGGTTTTCGTAATTTGACCATACCTTAGGGGTGATTGTAATTTACCCTATCAAACTTAGATAATTACGAATAACTATGGACGTGGCAATGCCACCACGTTGCTCTCAAAGTCAACTATATCGGAGACAATATTGTTTTTAGCCTAAAAATAAGAATAAAACTAAAAAAATGTTTAAAAATCTTCCATTATTAAATTATTTTGCTATACGCACATCATTTGTTTAAACTATGGATCCCCCAAATATTCAATTTTGTAACTGCATTTTATACTAATAAGTATGCTATAGCTGAAGATTCAATTTCTAACTACATTTTATAAAACCGTAAAGTACGGCCATTTTCTGAAGTAAGGTCAAATTACGAAAAAAATCTTTTATGTTTAGATAACTATATCTCCTCTCAATCAAGTATTTTTTTTACGAAACAACTTCTCATTTAATTAGTAGGTAAATTTGACACATAAAAGAATGCGTGTATCAGACAATACATAATTGGTGAGTATTGTTGTAGTTATCTTTCACAAAACTAAAATATTACATTAATTAATTAATTTGTACAGGATAATTGTAAGTTTGAAAGAAAGTGGTTATTTTTATTCGTATGAATTTAAAATTTCAAGTCGAGCAATTTATCCCGCAATAAAAGACCTTTGTACCTAATTAATATTTATTACAATTAACCTACGCTAGTTGATATACATTATGTGTATTATTCTCACCGTACACGTATATTGAACGACTCCCTCTCACTTTCATCCGCATATTTTATGTGTGTTACGTCGTATGGATCCAAAGTTATATATTATCAGATGTAGGATCTCAAAAGCTCTTAATTTCGAAATATATGGAATTGAAAAATCAAAATGTATGTCCGGCAGATAATACCTCTTGTGAAGTCAAAATCCATTCAATTTTCATTTAATTCGTCTTTTGAGAACGTATTTTATAAGAATATTATTTGAAAAAGAATGTCTAGAGTGAATTGAAATTCTGCCCTAAAGAATCTTATTTTTCGCTAGTTAGTGAGGCGCTAGAGGTATAAGAAATGGTAGTATTGTCTAGGGTTGTGTATGGATCGGATCGAATTATCGACCAATTACATGTCCGACCCGATCACCTAATTTTGCTGAATATTGAAAATTATTATCGGCCCCAACAATTATGGATCACATAATGGGTGGCAAGTGGCAACTGATTTTATCAGGTAAACAATGAGATGGTTGGTTGGTATTATCGGCCTCTCTTTATTGATATTTTTTTATTTTACAATAATAAGAATTTTTTAATATTTAAAAGATGTTCAAAATTTCCGGCAACTTGTCTTGCAAATATCTTTTAAGTTTTAAGTATAAAATTAGTAGTCTATTTTACTAGATTTTTACAATACGTAAATATATAACGAAGAATATGAAATAAAAATTATAAAATAAAAATAGTACGTAGAGGTTTATAAATTTATTTTGCAGTTTTGAATTCTTTTATATATTATATGAACTTTAAGAAAATAAGAATTGTATTCATAATAAAATTTTATTATTAAAAAAAGTTAGTTAGCTGATATTACCCCACCAACTGACTTTTGAATTAACCGAAATATTAATCACCGATCAATCTAGTTATACATGGGTCGTTTAAAATTACTGACTCAATTATGCGAGTTGGTTACTTATCGGTTATCAACTAAAAAAATGGTCAAAAGTGTATCGGTTGGCCAATAAAACCGACTCATGCCCAACTCTAGTATACTATCCAAAATATATAAATTATACGCGAGAGAAAAAATATATATATATATATATATATATATATATATATATATATATATATATATATATATATATATATAAATTTTCATGAAAATATATATTGTCAACTTAGAATTTATATTTATTTATATTTTAATAACTGAATTCGTAAAGTATTTAACAAATTCTGAAATGCTTACATCCCAAATTTGAAGTTAAATTATTTATTGGTTAGATTTTTTTCTCTTTCCAAAACATAGTTATTCAACTAAATTCTTACACGAAAACTCATTATTTCATCAAAGATTAGAGTCATGCTGAATTCTTACGCAAAAAACTTCATATAACCATTACTTCACACTAATTAGTAGTTACAATACAAGTACTATTAAGATTTAAAAAGTTTATATTTCTTTATTTAGGCTTGTGCAATAGGAACAGAACTAACACACCAATCGATAACAATGAATGACTTTTTTTTTCGTTTTTTTTAGTGAAGGGATTCGCAGCCAACTATATTGATATGCCTATTGGCCCAGCCCAATAGACTCATGTTTACTGGGCCACAGGCCCAACTTAATAGCTATTTACTCGAAGGCCCAATCACACCCAAAGAAAGTGGGGTCCGATAAATTGATCTCGGCCCAATCAATAAAGTATAAATACAACTTAAATTCATTTAGTAAAGGTACGTTATTATTATTCAATCAATTCTTCTTGAGGAATTCTCTCTACAATTACCAAATATCTTCACGTCTGACTTGAGCGTCGGAGGGGTTTCCGCCGGATCAACCCCCGGCTTAGATTACGTGTTTTCTGTTCGCAGGATCCTAGAGCAAATTAAAGTTCTCAGGACTATCTAGCTCGTGAGCACGTGACCTACTTTGCTCTCCCAGCTTCAACACATTAGGTGATTTATTTTTTACGTCATCATATATAAATGTACTGAGTAAACATCGATAACATTGGATGCCAATGATTTTAGTTTTAATACTATTTAAACTATTAGTGTCAATTCAATATTTACACTTAATTAGTAATTCCAATTAACATCATCAATTCATGAGTTAAATGTGATTATACAGCAGAAACAAATCGACAAACGACCTTATCAATAATTAATTAGTTAATTAATTATAATCCATTATTCGATAAAATAAAATAAAATCACATCAAACAAATGCTTGGCGTATATGCCAAGTGGTGGAAAGTGGATAAATAGATAAGATGAACTAGAATTGCCACCTCAACTATCACTTTTGATATCATCTTCTTCTCTTTTTTTCTTTTTTTTTTCTTTTGCCGTGGCCCACCCAATAAATAACAAGGAATAAAGTGCAAAAAAGTAGTTTACTTTCTGTTTCGTAAATGCTATGCCCGATGAGATATACTGGATGATACTGCATCATTGATTTATACATAACAAGACACACATATGTGAATGTATAAATACTTCGATCTAGTTGAATATTGAACATTTATCTGTCAAAATTATTCATATCGAATTTAGTATAAAATCGATTGATTTATTTCATTAGTTATGCGTTGAAGTGTTTAATGGTAAGTTATGCAGTTTTAGAGTTTTAAAGGAATTGAATTGAAATGTCATAAAAATATAAAATGAAATATTTGTCAACATTAATATAAACCCCACCTAGAACATGAGTTAGTTTGAAATATTCAAATGGACACACCACATTTAATAGGTTAAATGATTAGAGTTGTCTACTTGTGTGAGAATGTGAGAGGGATGCCACTCTATATATTTTAATTTAATATTTTATATGAGGTCATGAGCAATTTTATTTTATATATAAAAAAAAAAGTCACTCAATTTTTTTTCTCTTTTATATTATAAGGTTCATCACTTAATATTTAGTGAGACGAACAGAAATAATCAACGTCAGATTATTGAGATAAACTAGAAAACAAGAGATATCCGATCTCAATTTCTAGAGTTGACTATTTATTTAACATTATATTAATTATTAGTAGAAAAGTTCTTCATTGTCACATGTATGGTGGATGCAAGTTGGAACAAAATCTTGGAATTCTAACAAATTTCAATTCGATCTTATTTTTCATTTCAATTTCCGAAATTCCAAAATTTGATTTTTCGGAATAAAATTGAAATTAGTTTTTCATTTCTGAGAAGAAAAAAAGACGGAATTTTTCTTAGTGCTACTCTTTTTTCTTTTGTTAGAAACATTTACATCAAATTCCATTTCATTGCATAATAAAGTCATTTACGTTAAATCCATTATGTGTGTACGTTACTCGCAACAACAAAATTTTGCAAGAAAAAGCAAACAAGTAATAAGATTTTTTGCCGCGTTTTCTTTAACTCGTGGAGGATAATATGTGGTTTATCCCGTTTTAGTTACGTTATCTACTTCTTGTGACCAATTCATGAAAAATATATAAATTTAGGATTCGCTCATATAACAAGTTAAAGCAAAGATTGTTCATAGATGGCAAGTATGATCTAGTTGAACACGCAAAATCAAGAGTTTAATTATATTTTCGATATTTTTTACGTTCAACTTGTCAATTATTGTACGAGTACGAAAATTTATCCAGTGGGTGGATTTTTTACACTATCATAATTAAAAAAAAATAAAAAAGGAGGAAAACGGAAAAGTCTAATATTCAAAGGAGGTGTCGAAAAGAGGAAACATTCCCAAAATAAAGGGCACACAGAACAAACCCTAAAATTACGTTGTTTTTAAATGCTGTGTCAAAATCCATTGGTTCTGTAATAATAATATTAATATTATCATGAAAAAGAAAAATGAAGTTTTAAATTCCCAAACCAACAACCAAAATCAGGTTACTGTACGCTGATTTGACGAAAGGAAACCACTGGCTATTATGCCCTCGACTAGGCCAAATGAAACAATTTTTTAATCCAAGAAACTGGCAAAAAAAATGGACAGTTAAGATATGTTTATTTATATAACCGAAGCAATGCAACAAGGTTACAGCCTTGCAGATAATTTTATTTTACCAACGATGCAATATAGTAATTGGAGCCCACGGATTATAATACTACCTTGGTTTCCAAAGAGTTCTCGTTTTTTACTTGACACAAGTTTTAAGAATCTCAATAACGATAGTCGATAAGAATATAGATATAGATAGACTAAAATACCATTTGTTCAATAATTAATACACATATATAGTGTTGGAGAGTTAATAAATATATAATTATAAATTAACAGATAATATGGAACAAAATAAATTATAAAAAACAGACAAATATTGTGAAAAAAAGAAAATATCAAATATGAATGTTCCAACATTTTTTTCTTTATCGTGAAATTTAGATTACTTCTAGATCGATGGTAATTAATGAAACTTTGAATAGTTGTAAAGAAAAAACAAATGACATAGTCACAAAACTTGGCGAGGACAACGATTTCTAAATGCATAACTTAACACAATACATAATTTCTTTTCAAAAGTGATAAAAAGCAATTCTTCTATATAACACAATAAAAATCCATAAAGCAAAAAGTTGTTCACCTTGGGGTCTAAAATGAAGAAAATACTTCCTCCGCATCAAAATAAGTATACTATGTTAATTTATAAAATAAATCATAAAATGTGACTAAAATACCTTTCCTTTTATTCTATTCCACTAATTATATCTTCACTAATTAAAATGGTAAGTGCAAATTTGAGAAAATAGTAATTAGTGCATCATTGAAATTCTAATCTAGCTGATGATATGAAACAATAAAATTTCTCCAAAGCAAAGGTCAGTTTGAAACGAAGAGAAGAGTAATTGTAAGCAATATTATTAGTTTGCGCATCTCTTTCATTTTCACAGTCGCGAGCCTACATTTTCGTAATTGAAGTTAGTTTTCTACGTTTTCGCCCTCCGAAAGATCCATAGAAAAATCTGAGATTTGACGCAAGCAAAATCTTTTCGGGACACCCAATGCCAAGTCACATGATTCCCCGAAAGCATACATTTATACACTTACGATTCAATAGAGCCATTTTCACAAGACAGTTAGTTTTGATTGCAAGAAAGAAGAGAATATTTATGCACTCATTAATTCTACAAGAACTTCTCTATGCAGGTAGTTAATGTCGACTCTGGAACAGCACCGATGACTGCTTCTTTCTTCTCCCCGCTCTTAAATATTATGACAGTCGGTATGCTTCGGATACCGTATTGTGTAGCAATCGAAGGGCTCTCGTCGGTGTTGACTTTATAGCAGTTGAGCTTTCCAGCATACTGCTTAGCCAGCTTGTCGATAACAGGGTGGATTATGCGGCATGGCCCACACCACGGCGCCCAAAATTCTACCAGAACGGGCAAATCGGAATCGAGTACAAGAGACTTCCAAGTTGAATCGGTGACAGCTGGCACTGCATTTTCCAAGAAAAACAATAATGAAACTGATGTAATTGTTTAGTGTAATTACAGAAACAAAACCTGTAGAGTTACTCAATCGGACAGCATTTGCAACAAGATTCAGAAAACTTGTGAATTGAAAATGTTTAAGCTCCAATGAATACTTTGGAGCACCAGCATATAGAAAAATGAATATGCTTAACACGCGCGCGATAAACAATTAGTACATGTCACTGGCAGTAAGAATTGTCTTCACTATATTCTCAAGTTAACCTGTAACACGTTCCTATCTTTCCTACATTAGAACACTCGAGTTTCATCTAATCTTTGCTTCTGCTCTTGCTCCACTTTTACAGATGATGTGATTTAAGGCATCATTGAGACACTCTCTCACTATAAAGTATATCTCCGCGTAAAGTTATAAATAAATTAATGAAATTATTAAAACTGCCCCATTAAAATTTTGAAATATAAACCATCATGTTCCATTATACATTTTCGAAGGCCCAAGAAAACAGGGATGAAGCCAAGATTTCCGGACTTGGGGGAATATTGGATATTAAGAATGGGATAAAAGTTTGATGGGAGAAATTGGAATAATTCGATTATTTAAAGAATGAAATTTTATTAATGATAAAAAATAGAATCCTAAGAAATTGAGGGCACCCGCCCCATAATGGCTCCATTGCTGAAACAAATCAAACACCCAACATTTGGAAGCCATTGCACCACAAGACCGAAAATGGCATTCACGTATATAGAACAAGCAGTAGCAACAAACTAAAGGAGATACGCCTATACAGTCATTGTATAGGAAGTTGTTAATACAAGGAAATTCCAATCGAGCACTTCTCTTTGCATAAACTATTCACTTCATCTCGAAGAAAGAGGATGAATCCTTACTGCTAGAGAATCTATCCACAATAATAAAGGAATGACATTGACATCTTTTTATTGAACTGATTCTACGTATATAAAGAAAGTGCATCGTTTCCCCGTTCTATTGCTCGAATTATGTAGTAGCCAATGGACCAATCAACTCCACTTATGTTGCCTTGTAAGTTTTAACCTACATTTGCAACACTTTCCTATACTAAATAATTAAATTAAAAAAATGTCACATTTGTACCAAGTAAGAATTAGAAACACCATCAATAATTAGTCAACCAACGAACGAACGATATATGTTAACACTCCATAAAGCAAAACCAGTACTAACTTCATTACGATTTACGACCTCGGAAAGCAGCAATTTTTTGTTTTTCAGTGGCTTTGAGAAAAGGCTTCAATTATAAACCTAATTTAACTGAAACACGAGATTCATCGCTCTTCCATCACATCTCAGCCAAAAACAACACAAATCGAAACGCTTTCGTGCATAACTACTGAAATTGGGCATAATTGAAATACATAACGCAAAATTAAGGTTCGATATACGATAAACAACACGAAAAAAAAAATCAGCAGGAAGTAGAGAGAAAAAGAGAGAGAGAGTAAATCGGAACCTTCAACAGCGGTTTCTTGTGCCTCGCAGACGATACGACTACCACGGCGGTCGATTCCGGATCTAGAAATCACCGAAGAAGAAGAAGAGCGGACAGGCTGGATCTTAAGACCTCTGAAATCGGAGAACCTGACGGAGCTCCGGCGAGAAACGGAGGATCCAGCGACCGCTCCCAAAGAAGCCGAAGGAAGAGCGGAGGCGCGTGGGATAGACAGGGTTTCCAGCACAGCAGCAACCATGGTGGAAAACTAAAAAGTCGCACAGTGGAGAGTGTGTGTGCGCGCGTGGGTATTGTTGTGGATAATAAAATGGAAAATGAAGTGCAAGAGTGTGCGTGGTAGATTTAAAGTCTGTTTGGTTATGTTGTCGGTTTTTTTTTTTTTTTTTTTTTTTTACCAGTGATGAATGAATGGATGATGGGTTTGTTAAAAAAGATCACGTGCCGCTCACGTTGCACTTACTCAATTTGGAAACTTTGGGCCTGGGCTTTAGTAGTGTCTGGCCCAATATACCTGTTTTTATTATATATAAAATAAAAACGTTAAAATGTATTTTTCTACTTCCGTTTATATGATAAATATTTTTTCATTCTTTTTTTCATTTTGCTACAAAACTGTATGAATAAATGGTTATTGGGTAGGGATGGAAAATGAAATAGAATTTTCGAATTCCGCCAATTTCGATTCGAAAATATTTGAAATGTAAATTGTATTTTTTATTCCGATTTCTGCAGTTTCAAATTTTCGATTCTTCCGTATTTATTTGGAACGGAATTGGAATAGTATATAAAACTACCGAAAATTTCAATTTCCGAACCAATTTTAGTTCTGAATATTTATATGATTATTCGAAATATATAATGTAGTTTTATGATATATTTTGTAATTCCATAATAAAACTTTTGTAATATTTATATGAAAAATATAAATATCATATATATATATATATATATATATATATATATATATATATATATATATATATATATATATATATATATATATATATATATATATATATATATATATATATATATATATATATATATATATATATATATATTGTTCCTACATGTATTTTTATTTATTGTCGAATGCTCGTTTGGACTTTCTTGCATTTTGCTGCAAAAGATAGAAACAAATTGTGAAAATTTACATTATATCCGAATTTAGAACAAGAGCTTATAAACTAATGTAATTTCCAAAATTCCGCCGATTCTAACTTATTATGAAAACAAAATGAATTTTCGCATTCCGATTGTATTTGGAACTGATATTGGAACCCATTTTTATCATCCGAAAGAAAATTGGAAATTTGTTAAAAAAACCATTTTCGATCCATTTCGTCCGATTTCCACTCTTATTAGGATGTTCGTTGAATGATCATCTCAACCAAAAACTTAAGAATATTTAAAATGAGTGACGGTGAGATTCGACCTCGGAACCTTTCATTTGTTCTGAATTTGATACCATGTTGTATTTCAACCAAAAACATAACATATTAATAAAATGTATCATTTAATATTAATATCTCTAAAATAGATTTTGATCAAGAAACATATTGAACTTTTATTTAGAGATGAATCAAATACGTTTTCGGTGCATATGGAGGGAGGTCACGCTCGTTTTGGGCATCAATCAACGTTAAATTATGTATAATTGTATCATTTGACCTCAAATTTAGCTTACTTGAGCAACTCCAATGGAGGCATTAAATGAGGTATCAAACTAAAAAACTACCACTTTGATGCTTTAAAATTAAAAAATCCTCCTCCAATGGAGGCATTAAATGGAGAATTATTTTGATACTCAACCACCCGGAGGTGCAAAAATAATCCCTGGAAAATAAAGTATCAAAAATATAACCACCCAATTAACCTATCACTATTTGACACGTGGCATTTAAAAATATAATTATTCATATATTTAAAATTTGATAATCTATTTGATACTTGTGGTTGGAGTTAATTTTTTTTCAAGAAGTATCAAAGTATTATATCAAGTATCAAATGAGTATTTAATGCCCCATTTTGATATCTCCCATTGGAGTTGTTGAATAAGAAAAAAATAACTCAAGCGGCTACAACTTTAATAATTTGGGATTTGTCGATTTCACACCAAAATACCTGTTGTAATCTTATTTGAAAAGTAACCAACATGACAATTTCAAATTTGAGTTATGTAGTTGATTAATACAAACTTTTCAACAACTGATACCAGAATTTAAGCGGATCCTCTGATTTTGATATGAGTTTTGAATCATAAAGTTTATAATAATAAGTTTTATTATATTAGACCTCTTCAATAAGTATATATATTATATATATAGCAGTAGACTTTGCGACTTGCATTATATTAGATTATTAGATTTATAATAACAAATAAACTAAAAAAATAAAAATAGTGGACCGACCTTAGCCTTAAAAGACAGTGTCATTTTTGTAATTAATAAATGTTTTGTATTATATCTGCCTCCAATTTTTTTTTCTTTTTGTTTTCTCTTACTCCTTTTTGGACAAATAGTCAGTCAAAATTCAAAAGCTGTAGCCTTCCCTCGTCCAACCACTCCCACTTCTCTCTCTACATTTCTCTCTCTCTCTCTCTGTCTATATGCAGAGAGAGAAAGTATAGTAGTACATTTGAACACACACACACACACACACACATTTCGCATTCACGTTGAATTGAAAATTCTATTTTTTCTCATACAGTCAAAACTTTCAACTCCTACCCTTTTTGTTCGTCGTCGTCTTCTTCTGCAAAAAAACCCCCCAAAGATCAGACTTCAGAGTGCATGATTCCAATGGCGGAAATTAATAATCACTGCAAAAAGAAGCAGATAATCACGACGACGACGACGGTCATGCAAACTCATCGCCACCACCAACAAGGCCAATATTCTTCCCGGCGAAAACCTCTCTCCGTCGTCGTCAAAACCGAATCCGGCAACACTAACAACAACCGCTCCGATCATCGGAGCAGATCTCGTCATCTGGAAGAAGAAGAAATTAAGCTAGCCGCCTTGGCAATCAGCTTCAACATACGTCTGAGATCCGCCGACATGCCCTCCGCCATGCAGGAGCGCGCCCTCCGCCACACCCGCGCTCTCCTCGACGCCGCCGCCCCCTCCCGCCGCCCCAACCCCACCCTCCTCGCCCGCTCCCTCAAAAAGGTACCTTCCCGCGCCACTATATACACAAATTTTTATAACAGTTTATTGATTGGTGGGATGGTTGTTAGGAATTTGACTCGTTGTATGGGCCGGCGTGGCACTGCGTGGCGGGGAAGAGTTTCGGATCGTTCGTGACTCACTCGCCGGGTGGGTTCCTCTATTTCTCGGTCGACTCGTTCTCGTTTCTTCTTTTCAAGACTGAGGTCCACGTCATCGCTCAACCATCACCAAAACCTAATTAGATTATTGATAATTCATCTCAAACTATTGTTTTACATATATGAAAGTTATAAGACTGGAGTTTCTTAATTAGCTTTAGTTTTGATTAACAATTAGTTCATATAATTTTGAGCTGCATGCCTGGTGATTTTTTTTCATGATTTCTTGCATTATTTGTAATAATTAATATTCAAATTTTCAAAATCATCTTTCATAGTGTCCGACCATATGATATATATACATAATATATACATACATTTAGAAATATTAGAAAATAATTATCAGGAGACAGTGGAACACGTGGAAAAAGCTAGCTCTCTTCTTGTTCTTGTTTTCCATTTTGTGGGAGTGTGTATATATGCAGATAGCAAATTGGGATTCTTCACTGGAACTGGAAGAGAGAGAGAGAGAGAGAGAGAGAGAGACCTGTTTTGAACTTTTGATGGTGGTCCCCCTTTGAGGCTGAAGAAGACAAAATTATGAGCCTTCCTTGTGCAGAAGAGTTCAATTTTGAAATAAAAAAATGGCAGAAGTGTTATCATAATTGGGAAGTGGTTGATTGACACAACATATATATATTTTCCCTCTGTTCCACCATCTTTACACGCAAACTCAAACAAAATCATTTATTTAATTTGCTTCTTTTTTTTTTTTTTTTTCCCAAAATCCAAATTCCCTTGGAAAGCCAATACAAATCGAATTGGGTGTCTTCTTTGTTCTTACACAAGTTCTTACACTCCTATATGAAAATGAATTACAGGGCATTAGTATACACAAATCGAATCAAATGATTGAGTTTGTACATTTCCAACATAAAAACTCTGCACACAAGTCTTTTCTACTTTCAACAGATCAGCGCTGCAATAAAATAGAAGCCAATTTTCACAGCATATTATAGGATTTAAAAGAATTCATTCCAACAATATGCACAAGTGAAACTCACTATGTAAGTAGGTATTGTAAGCAAAATATACAGGCAGGCAGGCTGCTAATGCAAGTTCCTTTCGCGCATGTACTGCTCGATTTTAGCTACATCTTCTGGGACATCTACACCGTGGGCCTCGTGGTCGACTTTAATCACCTGCACACCAATAATATATATTAGAAACCCCAGCAAGTATGTATTCAAGAAATTAGCCAATACTGGTTATTTTGGGTAGTTGAATTATGTAAAGAATTGTAATCAAGAAAATTGCATCTTTGATATCACTTCCATTTGCATAAGAGAGAGAACCATGATAAGCATCAAGTGGATTTTTCGGCCAAGAATGGTAAGAAATAAACATCGATAACGAAATAAAGGATAATGAGTCAATAAAAATGAAACATGGGGAAGAAGTTCTTTTCGGCACCTTCATTTTGTATCCATTTTCGAGGACTTTCAGTTGTTCAAGATCTTCTTCCAGTTGAAGCGGAGTTGGCGGTAGCTCTGGATATATCTTGAGAAACTTTGAATCGTAGCTCTGCAAACATATTAAAATTGCAGGGATTAGAAATTGATTGGAAGAGCAAGAAATCGATCTGATGATTACTGTGCGGTGTGCTCCTTTTAATACCTGAATTCCCAGATGAAGTAAATATGGAAATCGAGGGTTGACAGTTCCCGATCTGCAAAGACAAGGGTTTCATTCATTTACACATTTGAGCATGTAGCCAGTGAGATAGAGTAGTGCAAACTGGAGAAGAACTAACTTGTTAAATGGTATAAGTCCTCGTGAAAAATAAATTGCGTATCCATGATTGTCCACCACACATTTGACACGATTCGGATCGAGTGCATCTTCGTATTTCAAAGAAGTTACTGCAGTGCTGAAGACTGCATCGGGAGAAGCCTGCATACGCCACAGATTCAATTTGAGTTCTGCATAGCGAAACAAAATATATACTTTTCTGGTTTTACACTTAAACAAAACAACTTGACAATAAGATAAGTCCAAGCTTACACTTGCAGAAATACTGGAAAGAAAAAAATCAACATTCAAAATGTATATTAATATATTATCCATCCAAATAAAGGATCTATGGTTCAAGTGTACGCTGAACAGTCTCCATCCTCTTCTTTTTGTTTTTTTTCGTCGAACTCAAGGTTTTTTAATTTCTCATGAATGATCCCAATTTCCTGAGAACAATGGCGACAACCAGTTAGAACAACAATAA